TCCCAACGTGGCAATTGCGTTAACTGAAAACCAATGTCGAAGTGTGTGTTTCTTCAGGGTTGCTGAGGGGGCAGATGGGAGAAGACCCCAGCATTTGTTCTTTTTGCGCGGTTTTTTGGTGACGGTGTAGTGGGATCAAGAGGTTCCAGCGTCATTGTTTGTCGGGGGTCATTCATTCGCACCTTTGGTGGGAAAGAAGAGTTTTGGGCTATTCTGGCGGGGAGGCACATGAGGGTTCAACTGAACTGCTTCTTTGCCATGTTCACCACCTGCCACCTGCCACCGAAAAACAGCGGCGCGTTCCATGTTCTTCGCTTTCCCTGTGTCCTTATGTTCCGCCCTGACCGTTGGGTCGCCATCCGCCGTGTGACCCCCCAACAGCGAAGGTGTGGCGTGGTGTTTATGGAAAGACTCCATGGAATCTGGCGTTGACATGGTTTCGGCCCGGAATGACACGGGTCCACGAGCCCCCATGATTGTTTCAGGGGGTGTGCAGTATGTACCCATCAATTGATCTACCAATACTCTTCCAGGGGCCCTCAAAACCATGAAAAAGAGAGGTTTTCACATACCAAAACCAGTTTTCGTTCTGGGGAAAACCAGGTTTTTGATGGTTTGTGGGGCCCCTGGTTAGTACTACTCTTAGTTTCTGTGACTTCCTGGTAGCTTGACCGTATCTCGCTAGTCAAACAGCTCGCTGGGGCTCCCCAGCCGAGCCCACCGATCGTGCAGGCGCCGATGAACTCCTGCGCTTTCGGGAGGCGCTCTCCGTGCGGAGCGGTGGTGCGGAGCGTTGGAGGGATCGTTGGATGGAGCAGTGGTGCAGAAACTCATTGACTTGGAAACCATGAGAATGATCCTCTTTTGATTGGTGCTGTGCCCTGATTTTCGATGATCCGTCCCAAAGTTTAAGCGATAAAGGAGGAGCAGTGCAACAGAGAGATTTACCGGGATGCTGATGCTCACGTTTGAGCTGTGGCATTTTAGAAAGGCTTCAACATTTGAGACACTAAAATACACTAAATTTAAAGTTCATGTAAACTATAAAGCCCAAATGCTGTAAGCACATCTGCCTGACTAAATGTACACCTAGGTCTTCCTATGCCACATGTCTGCCGACCTTGGCTGGTTTTACAGATGACCATGCATCATGTGTGCATATTGTTTCACAGATCCGGATATAGTAGTGAGTGTACCTTGGACCTTGCGTCCCCACAGTAAACGTTGCTAATAAACTTGAGTATAGCGGTGATTGACCGGTATAACCTAGTGCATCACCGGGTGTCGGACCCCGCCCGCGGTGGTACAGCCGGCCAGGTCACACTGCGCACGCCTCCACGGCAAGGGATGCTGCAACAGACACTGTGCCAGGAGCTTTCCATGGAGCTGAAGGATGGAGCTTTGGACGAAGAACATGATTTGCATTGTACCAGGACCCTCTAAGGGGTGCCCTGTCTGGAAGCCTAGGCTGGTAGTGTGTTGAAGTCCATTGGACACCCCTTGCAGGGTCCTGGTATATGTTGATGATGTTTGATCCAAGAAGAGACGTACAAGAGACGTACAAATTCAGTTGCTCGAGTTGTTTCTTCTCGTGCCTCGTGCACCGTGTCGTTTTTCGTATGGGTTTCCCTATTAAGTCGCAAACTGCGAAGCCAACATCAGGAGTCGGAGTCAGGCGGGACTGGCGTTGGTTCGATGGCACAAAGTGACCTCAAGGTCGGTGATTGAAGGACCTCCGTTGGTCAAAGACGGATTGTGCGCCCTGCCATCGGCTGCCTGAAACCACTGTAAATGGCATTGGTTAGGTGCGTCCCCATATGACATGCACACCAAAAACTAGGCATTTCACGGGGAAACATCCTCCAAAGGTACGTAGGTACGGGAGTCCACTGAGGTCAGTCACTACTGATCGTGGGGGAGAGCGGCGCCTCACCAGCATACGATGAGAGTGACGCCGGAACACGCGATGGGCGGAGTTGGGGAGCCGACGGTCAGCACGATGGGCGGTAAGGATTCTTGGCGTTGGGCTATGTTGGGTCGACCTAAGGACTGAACATCTCGGTGGGATCAAATGTTGAGTAACTGCTTGATCACATCGACCACCCATGCTTGCTAGAAGGATGGAAGAAGTGCAACACACCATTTATTTTGGATCGCAGCGGAGGCAGGATGTCAGGTTTGGACCCACCTGACTGCTTTGCGTCGCTAGTATCATCTAGTATCCAGTTTTTCCTTCTTTGGAGAAAAAGATCGTGAGTTGTTCAGTTCAGAGAGGATTGGCAACATATAGTCACATAGCCTATTTGCGGGATGCTGCTTGGCCTTTGGAGTCTTTGTGAACACTTTTGCATGTGTACCTTTGGAACTTGCATATAGAGGGTATATCAACATGTATTAAATACGTTATATAAATAGCTGAAAGGTGTTATATCTTGGAGGAATCCACCCTATTTTGTTCACTGGAACTATAAGTGATCGTTTTCCGGTCTTGTTTTCCGTTGACCCAAAAGACACCCAGGTATCGGTAAGAGCTCCCTGCTGCGCGCCGCCGCGGGGCTCTGGGCCGATGGCTGTGGTGAGGTCCAGCTGTGTCAGCGGCGCACGGCGCCGCGGCGGGCAGAGAGGGTTTGTCGAGAGCGGGTGGGGCGGTTGGAGCAGGGGGGCGTCGTCGCCGTGGTGTTGTTCTTTTTGCTCGGAGCGGTTTGTTTGAGCCTTTTCGACCGGCGGAGAGGGGGGAACTTTTGATCTTCTTTTTGATGACTGGAGGGAGGTTTTTAGACTGTTTTCGGATGGGGGCTGGCCGTGTCAGTGAGAGAACCCTGAGTACATGTTATCTTGCGGGCCAGTTTCGGAGTCTTTGGAGGGCGAGGAAGTGGCGTGCGTCCAGCTCTTGGAGTTGTTTGGTCGGCTGAAGGCGCCCAGATGGTCCAGGTGAAAAGGTTTGAAGGTTCAGGGTGAAGAGGGTCCAGGAGGTCTAGAAGGTGAAGACGTGCAGAGTGGGTTTTCTCCATCAAGTGTTCCGAACGCTTCTGCCAGCTAGTGTTCCTTGCGCAGATCACCAATTGAGAGAAGCTTGCAGATGGTACCAATATGGCATTCATGCATGCATATGCTTACGTACTTCATTACTGCTGAAGCAGTAGAACAAAACAGCTTCCTGCCAAGAAGGGGTGGTGTTCATTTCTTAACCACGGCCCCCCTCGGGATATACCAACTATGAGAGTCAACCCCTCACCTGCTTGGTGTCGACATCATCCAATGAACTGGTGTACTTCGAACAGAGGTTGAAGAACCCTATAGACTATCCCATAAGTACCCCAGTAGGGTCCTATAAGGTCACTTACCCTTTGTTGGTTGCCTTTTTGGGGAGAAGGGGCATGCACAACGTGTCTTGTGGTGGCTGAGGTCTTCTTTATGCCTCAGAAACCATACATGTTCCTGGGCACGCTGAAGGATCAGCTTCTTTACCCTAATGTCCAGGACAGCCCAGAACCGGGCAGGAGCAGTTGCACTCCGATCGCGCATGGAAAAACATACCGAAGACTCGGGAGAGAGCAGTTTTGAGAGGCAAAATCAGCAGATCCACTCGGAAGCGGTTGGGACTTAAGAACCTTCGTCGGGGGTCTGATTATATACAGTGGTTTCAGAGTAGATGGCACAGACCCCAAGATGTCCTTTAGATGGGGGTCCATATAAACCACCTCTTGGGGGCTGTGCCATCTACTCTCAATCCACTATAAATTATAGATAAGAATAGATAAGACATGTAGAACATTGTAGAACCCTTATGAAACTTCCCAACGGCCGGCTGGCAGCAGAGGTAAGGTGTACCTTGACTCACTCCCCGCTGCTCGATCTCTCTACTCATTGTGCGACGATTTGCTCCTGGAGGTGAAGTGGAAATATGAGTGAACATCTCGCTGCACTTGAGACCTCAGTTCCAAGTCTAGGACCTCATTCGGATGCCTGTTTTCCAGCACACCTCCGCAGACTCCTCGGCCGCCACCGGCATGGTGCCAGGACAGCTTGTTGGGTGACGTGGACATCCAACAGGCCTTGAAACAGGTGAACTTACATCACCTCTTAGAGCCTCGGATCCAAGGGCAGAAGGGCTTTATGCGGCAAGAAGTTGAGATTTCTTCATGTGAGCAGACGGGGGGTTGGTTGATGTTGATGTTGCTTGGTTAGACCCAGACGGTTTTTGTGGGACGTGTGTAGGCTTGGTGCATCTTGGTGCTATGAACCTAGAAGCCATATCATGGGCCTGTAGCGGCCTGTCCCATTGTACCTGTAAAGAGTCGGAGTCAAGAATTTCGAGCATCCATCGTCCACTGTTACTGGTAGGCCGTAGGATGTAGTAGGATATACCCAGCATAATATGATTACCAGGAGTGACAAAGGGGTGGTTTTGGGTCTCTAAGTGAGTGGATAATGGGCACCCCTAACCTCCATTAAGCACCCCTTTGTGACTGCTGGTATATGTTATTTTATAGTTGTTCTGGTGGCGTGGCGTGGTGCTGCTCGTGAGATCAATGCTTTGCAGAAAAATCACCCAAGACCCCAAGGCAAGCATTAAGTGTGATGGCTTTGGAGGTAAAGCATGGAGCTGTGGACTAGGCATTGTCATGTTTTTGCCCGAGGCTGTGTTAAGCATCCACCTCTGGTTTTCCAACTTTGGTGTTTGAGGGGCCGTTTCCGGCCCATGCCTGGTTTTGCGGATCTAGGGAGATGTTGGATGAACCCCAAACTGGATGAACCCCCTGACCTGAACCCCCGGACCTGGGGAATATATACTATACTGTTCCCAGCACTGCTGCCAATCCAAGCGTTTTTTTTAAATGTTTTTGAAGCCCATTTTGGAGCCCAACAGTTCCATGTCAACCAACCAGACACCTGAAGCCCAACAGCCCCGAAAAGGGCTCCTCTCGGCCAGTAGCCGAGGAGCAGCACAATCTGAATGAATCGAAGGAGTGGTCCAGCCTGTTGCCACTGGTCCAAGATTCATCCCCCTGCCAACTCACATGGGGATGAGTCAATGGCTCGTTCCACCCTGGTGGCGACAGACCAGTTCCACCCTTGGCTGCGAATGACATCGAATGACCTCTCGTCGGCAGGTGCCCGGTTGGTATCCTGGTTCTGACCCACGACCCTGAAGATCGACCCGTAGGAAGACCAGGGTTTTGCGGTTCCATGTTCGCGGGAGGGCCTCACAGGTGCCGCACGGTGGTGGCTTGGAAAAAAGCAACGCTACTTGCCTTGGCACTCATTGTGCAAGTACTGTACCATGCTCAAGCATATTCAAGCCCTACTCCCTGGGCCCTCTTGCAACCTTTGCCCACGGCCCACGGGAAGGATTTTTCTGTTGAGCACCAACCCCTCTTCTGAGAAGGTGGTTGGATCATGTTGGATCAGGTCAAATCCGGTATACTGAGAAACAAATTGGTGTTGATGATTTCCAAATTGTTCCTCCAAGACTGTTTGACCCATTCAGATCATCAAACAACAAAGGTGCACCTTATGGGGTACATTCTGGATTTCTTGGCACCTCTCTCTTTGATTATGGCCTCCTCCACTTAAACAAGCTTGTTTTTTTTCGCACATTCCACCTAGAGGAAGGCTTGGCTTTAGCGAGACTTCGTGTCAAAGCTTCTAAACCAGGAGGACGTTCCATCTCCAATTGGACTTGCTCGAGACTTCACCACAAATGATCTCAAAATCATGCAGAATCAGGAGGTCTAACTCATAGCTGGCCACCATTTCTGCCATGCCACGCACCATCAACCTGTTGTTTGAGGGGGCAATTAGGGACACCGCACTCAACAAAACGAACACGTGGAGTTCCTTCGGTGGAGTTCCTTCGTCGGAGCTGGTCGGTCGCACCCGACCCGAGTGTGAGGTCTCTGGGGCAACAGCAGCGCATCAACTTTGCGCGGGTGTTGCTCCTCGGACGGTGTTTCCAGCCATTTCCCACCCTTCCTTCGTTTCGGTCGAACAGAAACACGACCGTGGGCACGGGTTTGGGCGCCGGAGGATGCGGAGGGGAAGCGACTTCGGATCTAGAAGGATTGCACTGACCCGTGGCTCAAGATGAGGTCCTTTTGCTGGTGCCGAGCATGAGTCTTCCGGGTGAGTAGGGCGTAGTCGTTGGTGTATTTTACGGGACCACATGGGGCCACAGGACTCTGTGGGAGCCCAGGGGAGGAAACGGGTCAAACTCCGAGGCACATCGCCGGGTAACTTTCTTCTGAGATAGATCCACACACCAGGTCCTGTCACCCAATGTCTGTCAGCCGACAGTACAGTTCATGAATCTCAAATGCGTTTTAAGACTTTTAAAGATCGTTTAAGTGGATTCACCATGGAACTCTTCAGTGACTCAAATTTGTGTCAGTGTTTTTGTTGCACACGTATCTGTTTTTCTCAGATCGCAATCGACCCTCTCTTGAACGATCTTAAAAGTGTGAAGGAACCAGTTGCCAAATTGGTCCCACAGACGGTGAATTTCTTCACAAACATCCGGGTTCAGCTGGGTTTCGTCGCTGAGGCTGCGGCCAGAGACGCGCGTGGCGCTGATTGATGAAGGTTGGATGGCAGTTTTGGCGTGTTCCGAAATGGGCCGCTGGTGGTCGGGGCGGTGTCCTGAAGCACACCTGGAACCCTAAAAATCATAACCTTGAAGCCTGTGAGCACTACTTCATCAGCTTTGAAAAGGAATCCATCAAGGGCAATCCACTTTGAAGCTGACGGAATTCCTCAGTTGGGGATTTTAAGCCTGACGCTCATGCCAGGCACTTCCGCGTGCGATCCGGGGAATGAAGCTTTGCTTTATGGATTGCTGCGAGAACGGCTCAGCGGTTTCTTCGATGCAGAAAGCGGAGTTGCAACAGCCGGAGCTACAGTAAGTCACATGTGGAACATGTGGGTGTGCAATAGGGAGTCCGACCCCCTGGAAGGGTCGGAAAATAGGATTCGGATGTACCCAGCCAGGCTGGGGATGTCCCTCCCCCTCTGAAAATACACACCGCACCCATGTTTGAGAGTTTGGTTTGCATGATTGCAACATGTATAGTAACATGGGTTGGAAGAAACGGCCATGGGCCATGGTGGCAAACGACATGACTACACGTTGAATCCCTGGTCCTAAGTAACCGCACTCGATCCCCTGGTTTGAGGTCACTTAGGCCCGTAAAAGGTAACTACAAAAAAGGTCACTTTGAGAAGCTGCGAAACAAATTGGCTGTTTCATGCTGTTTCTTTTTTGAACTGATTAGTAAACAGTTGGCACTTCCGAAGCGAAACAAAGCAGTCAATTCGACATAGGAAATCCTGATTCTCCCCACCTGGAGAAAGACATCTTCCACCAGTTGCTACGAGCCCACAAATATCTGAGCATCAGAATTATGGGAGGGCAAGTAGCATGTGGCTCCAATTTTGGGCTCTGTATAAACCATACACTCCATGTATGCCACAATTGCCAATCAATTTGGGTGGTTTTTGGGATATCAATAGGGCGGCAGTCCTATGGCAGTCCCAGACAGGTCGCGTCTGGGTATGGTCCTTCAGGTCGGCTGTTGATGGACTAAGGCTATGTCTCTGTAGGCCATCGACCCGCCCTGCAGCAGTTCCATAGCCATGTGCCGCTTGGATGCCGATGAGAATCCGCCGGTTGGATCGGCTGACAGGTGATGTCGAGAAAGGAAAAGTCACCAAACCCGTTTTTGGGCGATGCAGGAGCGACCAGGATTTGGCCGTTTGAGGGCTTGATCGATGGTGCTAGCAAAGAACAGACATAATTCTTATCACCGCTGGCGATGTGTTGTATCCCTTTGTGCTTGTGCGCGCTTCATCAGAGGAAAAATACAAACGCTTGTCATTGTGGGATCATGTTGGATCTATGTAAATGTTTGGCGATGCTTTTGTGCCCGGGTATACGTGTTTAATCGTCATAAGTGTTTAAGTTATTAAGGTGTAATTTCATGGCAGGTTGAAGATGCCAAGATGTTGATCAACGTAGGTACTTTTACTACATCCTCACAAGACTCACTATGCAAGCCGATGCAACAAGACGAATCAATCCATATCAAACCTAAGGACGGTGTGACGGAAGATATACAATCATACAACAGACATTCCCTTGTCCATATCCTCTACATGAAATCAGGAGGGTCAACGTAATCTATAAAACGTTTTAAGTGACACCCCCTTAGAGGGTTGGGTTCCTATTTTATGGAAGATGTGTGCGTGTCATTGTATGTTATTGAATTTCAGTTTCGCCTTGTTCATAAGCAAACAATCATGAACAAGAATTGGCAGAATAGAAACATCAATAATAAAATTCAATAGATTAGCTGCCAATTTCATAAGAAAACAAACATGTGGCAACGTCGAGTCCTAGAACCTCACAGAGAAGATACGGACACAGACGTGGAGATACGTGGAGTCGAAGAAAGGTATACGGTATAAGGTTCCTTCAGTTGATGTCCTCTACCCCCTTTGGATCAGCTATTTTTTTGTATAAGATGTTGTTCTTGGACCCCGTACCCTATACCGACACCGGGATCACAGAACATACAGAGAAGAATCCGGCTATATACCATATGTTAGTTAGAAGTAGATACATTCTATTTATCTATCCTCCATATGGTCCTAGACTTGCTCTCACACCACTTGGTATCCCACCCACCGCCGTGCTAGATTCCTACCAGCATCCCCTTGATGTTTTTCTTCGACTCATCGCCCACAGCCCTCCTCTCGCTCAGGTTGTACTTGCACCGGCCGGGGGAGCTTTCGCACGAGCCAACTCGTATCGATTTCATGACCATGGAGGACCGGGAGCTGACCGAGCAGAAACTCGAGATCCGCGGGTTTGGGGTGTTGGGTGAGAAAGGGTGTGTTTTTTTTTGACGGTTTTTTCATGCTTTTTCCATTGCGTTGTTGGGTTATTGGTTCGAGAAAACCTGGACACTGGATGAAAACAAGTTTGGTTGCTCGTTTGTACTTGTCAGATCGTGCGAGCTCTGGAGGAGGACCATGGTTTTCAGAGGTATAAAGGAGTAATTAGGTAGATGGTGCAATGAGTGCAATGGTGCTTGAACACACCTTAGACCGTAGACCCCTGTTAGATGGAGCTCCTATGTGTCAATTGAAGCTTTGTTTGGTGCTGTGATGGTGTTGTGGCTTATTACACATTTTTTCCATGTATTATATGATGTGTTCAATCATCAATCTACTAGATAGTATTCACCACATTCCACTCCCTCATTTTCCTAACGCCTCGCCTTTCTTCCGGCGCTCGCCGTTTTCACCCTTCCGTTACGTGATGGCGACCTCCCACGTCACAACGACGCTACAATGGTTTCAGACGCTCCATGGGACTGGAATATATGCCGATCAGGCCAGGGGTGCTGCCAGGGGGGTCTTCCTGGGGCGTCCGTCCTGGCAGTCCCATGGAGTGCATGGTTTCAGACTTGATGGGATCTCACAATCTGGAGCCCTGGTCCACGTGACCTGGAGCCCAGGTAGTTCAACAGCCACGTTGGCAAGGCACCGATAGAACGGATCACCGTCCAAAGAACCGAGGCGATGAAGTCCAGTTAGTTAACTCTTGGAGTATCAGGATGATATCAAAGCGGTCAACGCACCTAGCGGTCAACTCGTACTCGGCGTATTCGGATACCACGCGTTCTCAACGTCTTGATGGGTCGGCGATGGTTAAAGGTGGCCAGTAAGGATGTGTTTTTAAGTTCCTGCACTGCGGCAACCAGGCAATATTCGACGTGTCATGGCCAGCCAGTGGTGTATGTGTTTTTTCTCTTTTTTCGGGTGGTTGGATAGTAGACAGGCAGTTTCTCAAACAATATCGGTTTATGCCTCTTATAGCTAAATAGCGTCAAAAAAGAAACCCCATCATCGGCTGCTTACCTCCTACCTGTTGAAAGAATATGTTGAACCTTTGCTGGCCAGGAGTTTCAGAAGACATACCCAGCCTTGGCCTTTCACCCCTAGATTCAGTGAGCGCACGTTTTACTCGCTCCGCGAGAGCCTGGGATTCGCGGTAGGAGTTCCGGGGGCTGCAGCGATCCATGAAGTAAGTCAGTTTTCGCAGGAGATATCCTGACTGAATATCAACCTGTGTCATCTTGTTTCTATAAATCAAACCTCCCAGAACTATATGGTGTTTTCAAGATATGTTTCTTCACCATATGTACTGTAACTGGAAGATGGCATAGAATCTCGCAAGTAATCTTGCGTTAGCTCGGCCTACGATACGGAGAAGGTCTTCTTCCGCTTTTGGCAACTTGGGTGAGACTCGTGACTGTCATGACTGTCACCGTTTCGGGTTCAGCTGTGCTACCATCACCTTTCCGAGGGGTGTTCGACACACCGTACGCAGTCGGTCTTTGGCCGTAGGTACTGTACTAGCAGGTTACCACTCACGAAGTCGTACGAACACTCATGCCTTCTATTTGGGTTTTTGCTTGCTTGGATTATGGCCGGAAGTGTGGCACAACCACAGTTGGGATAGTGGAGTGAAGTCCAATACAAGATAGAAAGTTCATAAGGTTACGCACAAACCATCACAAAACGGATTGTCTATGACCATTTTTGGACCATCACATGCGAATGTCCTGCTCTTCTGTACTGTACCCCATGTGTTTCTGGCTCCGGCAGCAGTGGCTCCCAAGCTTCTACCGGCCATGGCCGGTTTCTGTACGCAGGTCGTTGACCAACTGGAACCCAAAGCTGCGGGTCTCGGTTCCGAGTGTCTATGATCTCCTCAGTTTGCTCTCTGGTTCTGTTGTTTGTCTCAAGCTAGAAAGATCTTTGAGGATTTTGAGGCAGCTTTGGGGGGCCACTCCAGGTTTGAGTTCCCTTTTGCCTGTCTCCCAGACGAGACGTTGCGGTCTCCTCCCTCGCGAGCGAAACTGGGTTTGCTGAAGAACCATGGCCAGTACCCCATGACACCGGAATTTGACCCCTCATGTGGAGCCTCGTATCACAGACACGACGTGTCTGGGACTGCCATAGGACTGCCGCCCCATTGACCCCCCGAAACCACCCCAATTGATCGGCATATGACAGTCCCATTAGTCGCGTCTGGGTATGGAGAGGTTTGGAGTGTCAAATCAGTTTGGAGGGGCGAAGGGGCTGAGCCTGGAGCATTCGACCGGGACTACGCCAAACTTGACTAAATACACTCCAGCTCTGAGCTCCTGCCGAACCAATCTCACTAGTCAAGAACTTGAGTCAACCTCCATACCGTTTGGGAACGGTATGTGTTGCGAGTCTTGTGTGGACCCAATTTGTATGCTTGCAAGTCATGGAGTGCACGGCATACATCAGTGGCAGATCCAGTTGCTCGCAATCGTTGAATCTGTTCATTTTCTCCTACCTGGGAGCGGGGCATCAGTGCCCCCAATGGTGGCTCCTCCGCTTGTGTTTTTCATGCTGACACTCCAATCATTCTACTCACAGACTTATAGATAAGGGGGGGGGTCACTACATCGTACTCCTAAGAAGTCTATGAGCTATGGCCTTTTTGTTGACGTGCTGAGCTAGCGGGCAGCTCCCACACGTGACCCGCCCCAGCACGCGATGACCTTGGTACAGCGAAAGGAAGAGGACACACCAGGTAGGTAGACAGAGTTTCTTCTGCCTTGTGGATGCAGATACGGATAGAGCAACGGCACAGGTTTGGTTTCCCCCTTCATGACGATTCATGATTTGTAGCCCATACTTGTGATGCTTAGCATAGCTGCTTAGCTTCGTTGAAGGTTCAACTCAAGACTTGAGGATGTTGGTATAGCAGAGGCTCCTCGACTTAGCGCCTATTTTTTTAGAGGCTCCGGATTATTCTGGCTCCTCAGCGTTTTTTTCAAGCGGCCGAGGCGTTTCAAACGAGGCCAAGATAGACCTTTGCAAGCATTTTCCTGTATCCAGTAGCCTTATTCCACGTGTTTTAGATGTTTTTAGGCATAGATGAATGCCTATTATTCCACCCAGAAGGGATGGTGAGGGGTCCCTTCCGCCGCAGAAGTCACATACTATCGAACAAACCCTTTATGTATCTACAGCTGCATGTACCATACACCAGTCGACTAAGTTCACCAAGAGACACCGATCAACTAGTGCACTGCTTCAGCTCTGTGCTGTTTCTCGACCCCGAAGGATGGACGGAGGGATGGGTGCTTGGTCCGAGGAGCCAGGACTGTTTGGAGAGATTCGGGAGCAGCTTCTGGACTTGGGGTTTCATCTCTTCAGATAAGTCGCACATGAAGTGGGAAACCATGCAAATCCCCTCTTCCTCCGGGTGACCGGCCATCTCCTCCGGGAATGCGCCGGGAACGAGTCGCGGGAAGCGCCCAACCCGGACCGGCTTCGGCCGAAATGGCCGATTGGAGTTTAGAAAAGACACGAGCTTTGGATGGTTTGGCTGGTTTGGCTGAAGGTGATCGATTTTCCCTATCAGCAATTCCTCTAGCCTGGTGAATGTGGCTCCTTAAGCAAATCCTAGATGAGTTCTGAACGACATGATAGCATGGTATTCAACTGGACGCTCCTGAATCTCTTGCAGGAGTTGTAGAGTTTCGATGGCTAATCCAAGATGCTTGACGAACAAGTACAACTGTCCGTGCATGCCGTATGCGAGTTCACTTAACGTTTGAACAAACAATGTTTCTTACCTTGATTGAGATCCTTGGTAGTGAGTGAAGGCCTCCACACGACTCTTCGTTCAACAAGCCGTTTGAGGTCATCAGGGCTTTCGCAGCCCTAAATCATGAACTTGGACATATTTACCTTTAGAACATACATGGCTGCAGTTCTTTAATAAATGTTCAACCATGTATTGGCTAGAAAACGATGTCTTCACGGTAGGGACACTACCCGAACCGGGGCGAGGCAATATGATATTTTGTTGGACTGCGAGCAGTAGGGTCCCCGGTCCCCCAATGTACGGACCGACCACCCCAGAGGTTCGTGATGGCACGTGATGGCTCGCCAAGATGTCGATGATGTTGGGGTCCATGGAAACATGTGAAAACAAACCAAACTTGGGGATTGGTTGTGCCATCACGTTCTTTTCCTTTAAAGTGAAACCATTTTCTGCCCCAGCCATGCGCAGGCTCATTGGCTACAGCAGATTCCTCACCCAGGCCGCAGCGACCTACGCCAGCAGTGCGGCAGTTACTCATGGCAGAGGAAGATTTCTTCAAGAGCCCCTAGGCCTAGGGCTCCAAGGGCCTCCAAAACCCACCCCCAAATGCTTTTTGAGGAGTAGCTAGAGCCCTAATCATTAGGGTAATTTATGGTAATTGATTCATGACAAAGTGAACGCATATTTAGATATGTAGAATCAATTTTAGGACCGCTGCTGGGGTAGGGCCTGCCCTGCGCTGAACACAGGAACGCTCCAGCAATGCGGCAATGCGGTTTCATTTTTTGGAAAGATGTAGCACCTGTTTAGCAGCCATGACCGGGACCAACCCAAAAGTCTCAAGTTTAGCGTTTCAGATTTGTGACTGATCAATTTTACATCACAGAGGTGTGAACATGTGATTTTTCATTTGAGATGTTGACCACACACTTAGTGACCTTGAATCTCTTGAAGCAAAACCCTGGCCAGCATATTACATAATATAGTTATATAAATGCACACTCCAACGACTCACTAACCTGGAAGTGGCAAAGCACCTGTTCGTGAAGAAACAATAGTCTTCCATGTTCCACTTCCCTCTCAGTGAGTCGGAGGGTGTGTATATAGAAAGAAAGAGAGAGAGAGAGAGAGAGAGAGACAGAACCTGAACCCTGGCCTCGTGGGCTGCTGTGTTTCTTGCCAGTCACATCTGGTTGGTTTTCGGTCCGGCTCCCTCCGAGAAGACGAGAGTCTTCTCAGGACGGTTCCTCAACGGCTTGGAGGAAGAGTAGCTCACCTGCTAAATCTAGGTTACGGCCCACTGAAGAACAACCTTGGAGGCCATCACTATTAGGTTGGAGGCCATCGCTACTAGTTTCCTTAAAGTGTTACAGCCCACTTAACAACAGGTGGAAAGTTCGATCGAACCTTTCTCTTCGGAAACGCCTTTGGCGTCCGAACCGCGAAACAGCTCGGGAGTCAGAAGGGTCACCGAACGGTCATGACTTGGTTTCGTGGAGCCGCAGTTCTGGCAGCAAAAAGCAGCTCACGGAATCTTTCTTCCACCCTAGAGACGCACGGAACTGTGAGGCTCTCCGAGGCGGGAGCGGGTCTTTTTCTCTTTTTTTCGGGAACGCCTCGTGGTGGTTTGGGGGTGCTTTTTGGCAACTGAACTCTTTGAAGATTCCAGTATCAACTGTTTCAACCAGCGTTTTGAACAAGGATTTGAGATCCGATGCAAGTTCGACCAGTGTTATGCAATGGGACACATATCCAATTTACCCAGTTCCGCACGCATCTGGCTTTAAAGCAATTGACTGTGAGACTCAGCAGGAGGATGAGTCATTTGATACCTCTCTCTCTATTATGTAATTATTATAATTGTGTATGTCCCATTACCAGTAACAGTCGGCAAATCATCACTACTTTGAGAAAGGCCTTTACTAACCATCATCATCCATTGTTTCTGGCAATGGGATATGCCCAATCTCACTCTCTCTCTCTCTCTCTACAGATATTTATATACATGTAGAATTTGTTGAACCGAAAAGGCTTGAATCTAAAGCGGCAAACCCAAGGTGTGCCGCAAGCGTAGGATGTTGGGAGAGCTTTGTTTTTGGAGTCTTCGATTCAATGGGGGCCACCTTAAGACTGATGGGCACCAGACTTCATAAGAGCAAGTGACACCCCACAGGGCCACTCTTGCTACTTTTCAGTGTTGGTTTCCTGTTGCCCTGGTATTGAGCACACATTCCCACACTCGGTCAGATTCACAGAACAACACCATCAGTCCTAACACACTCTAACAGCTCAGAGGTGAGCAGTGCCAATACTGAATTCTATTTATACAGATCAGTCCAGGGTAATGTCAACGTATCGCTTAGACGGGCCCGGGCCCTGGTACGATGTCGACGTCGAGTTGTCGTGCCCAGGTACTGGAGACCTGTTTCGAAGGGGAGGGACGTTCCCGACTAAAGCTCCTTTACATAGTGGGTACCTGGAGAACCTTATATGTAAAGGGTCTTCAGGTTACCTTACTATATGAACTATATAGTTCATCTCGGGTACCCCACCTAGGTGGAAGGACCGCAGGAGGTGCGAACATGGATCGATCGCGAGTCGGTGGGCAAAGCAGCTTGGTGCCCAGGAAATTTGGGTTCAAGCTTGGCGCCTGTGGGGGAAGCGCCAGCAATTAGGGCCTCAAGATCTGTTCAACCTCACATACCGGTTCAACCTCATACCGGACAAAAGCCCAACAAGCACGTGCATGGTTCTTTGGGCCAGTCCGTCACCAAGTCATAGCAGCGCTTCATCCAACCCTCAGTTTTTCTCCACCATGCGCCACCTCAAAACAACTCACAGCCAACGTTGCAAAAGAAGCACTCAACGACCTCACTCCTTCGGAGAAAAAGAAGAGCAACAAACAAAATCATACAACATCTAGATTATGATATATATATATATATACCTCACATCTACTAATCATCTACCCCAGAGTTTCACAGGTTCCCACGGAGTCATAGCAGATCTCCTCCATTTCACCGGTCTCAGCCGCCGTGGTCGTCGGCCCTGTCCACGCCATGTGGGCTCGCCGGATCGGCGCACCGGACCGATGCCCCTCGCAGACGCGGGTGCGTTCCGCGCGCCGAACGCGCGAAGGTCCTGGTGTTGCAGCGGATCAGATAAGCCTAAACCCTATAAAGCCTAAACCCTAAACCCGAACTGGGTCAATCCTCTTAGACCGGGGATCATGGGGAATATATTGATTTTTTTTCCCCAGGCAGCTGGACAGCGATGGCCGGGACGGAGTAGTGCCTTTTTAATGTTTTTATTTTTTTGGGGGGAGGAGGCCTGGTTGGCTATACTGTGAGAAAGATTGAGAAAGTACCTTTGATTTTAATTGGCGTTTGGGACTCACAGCCTGTAAGGGATCTAGGATTTGGGTGGATTTTTGAAGTTCCTTTTGAAGTAACTCTCCATGAACACGGTGTTTCTCTGTATATGAACAATGAAGACCCAACACTTCCAGCTGCGAGATGGACCATGACGAACCAAAACCGTTGAAGCTGATTCCTTTCAACATCTTCAAGTAATAATGCATTTTCATGCATTGGCTTTCCACTCGATTAGGCCACAGAAAAGCGTAATACTGTGTATACCTAGAACGCATTGAATTTGACCGATTGCTTTGGTAGGAAAAGTCCATATTTCGGGTAGTTGGTCTAAAGTATAGGGGTCACCCAGGGTCGTCTATACCCTATTGTCTAGGTGTGGGTCACCCTATCTCCATGCCGCAGATTCCACTCGAATCACCCAAGCCATTGACTGTGCCATGGTTCATCGGTCGAACTCAGAGGGGAGCTGTCGGACGATCAAAATAAGTTCTTATATAGCAAATATGCGTAGAGACCGAGTGCTCGACTACAAGTCCTTGATTCGACTACTCCCATGTAGGCCACATGATGCCACATGTCCGATTTCGGAGCGTTTGATGGGATGTGTGTGTATTTGATTTCAGTGGAGATCAATATCAGTCAAATGGATGGTCTCACTTGCCTCGCAGCTTCCCAACTGGACCATTGAGGAGATTTGGCTTGTGTGAAGCGACACCTAACAAGTAAGCACCCCAAACGATATAGATGTACTACTAAAACTAAGGGCGCAGGGTGTATACGGGGTGGTGGACAGATATCTATAGTTATATCATTGATGTGATCCCCAATTTGCTTGCGGCTGGTCCCTTTGTCCCGCGACCTGCTTCCCGTCGGCATCTACGATCCGCGCAGGTCATCGTGCAGAGCATGATGAACGGAGCGGGGGGTGGAGGGGGGAGCCTGTCGGGAGCCACCATGGAGGATGTGTTGGACCGGTCAGGCCGGGTTGGACCGGTCAAGCGGGTTGGTAAATATTCTGCCCCACAGCCAAGTATATATATATATATATACCCTGAAGAGAACGTGCCAGGTGAAGGGCAATGGTGTTGATTTTCCCCCACCTGAAGAACTCACATGTGATGGTTCGGGGTTCAGGATGGCCGTCCGGCAGGGCAGTCCCGCTCGCTACCCTCTTCTTTGACGCCATCATGGAGACAAAAAAGATCGGGACCGAGGGGCTCCTACTTCATCCGCAGACACGCGGCAATTCAGGCCGCATGTCGTGCATTTTGAAGCACAGATTGCAAATCGGGCAGCGCTCTTCCTATACCACTGGACCCATGACTTGCTGGTCGTACATGCACGGCATGGCGTAGAGCGAGCTTGAACACCACCGTTCGCTCTGCTCTTGCAACAGGAGGAAGAACCCGGTTTCATGCACAAGTGCCATGGTGGAATGTGTGCAGTTCAATGAGCAAGGTCCGGTACGACTGCAGTCTGGGGTGGTGGTCTTGAGGATACTACGCAGAGCTTTACGCGTGTGCTCTTGTTTTGGAGAGCCGCTTGGCACACCAAGTCTCCTGGAGAAGACCTCATTCGAGCCGGCAATCCAAATATATCCAAGCGCTCCTGGATGCTCCTGGGCTCAATCGGTTGTACATTTGGTGGATTTTGGTGGGAACAAAGCAAACAAAGTGGATGATTACGAAAAGCCATTGAGGTGCAGCTGCCAAGCGCGTGGCCGTTTCTGGCGGCGAAGCGTGTTCGCAAGATGAGCACCGACAAAACAACTAGAAGTAAGCACTCGCTTTCACCTGGACATCATGTTTTGAATTACACCGGCGTAGACCCCAGATTAGGTTTAAAGGACGCGCCACCGGCCACGGATAGCTGTCACCGCAGCACGCAACATCACACCAGTCCACCAATAACATGCGCAACATCTATCAGCTGAATGCGCCCGCTTTGCCCAACACAGACGTAAAACTGCAAGATCGGCAAGGACCAGCCAAAGCTGCCCAGACATGATGATCATTGCTGCATCACGGTGTCATGCACAATATGACAGCATGTCAGCCCCGGCATGACATGATGTCGCCCCTGGCATGACATGACGTCATCCCTGGCATGATGACATGATGTCATCCCTGATGATGTCATCCCTGGCATGACGCAAGCCGAAATACGGATCCAGAGCCAGCACCTTGCGCCAGTACCAGGACGGCACCAGCGCCGGCCAACCAAAACGCCGATCCAGCACAGAAAATGAAACGCCGACCCAGAGCCAGCGCCAGCACCAGCATGGCAGCAGCACCCGCAAAACGAACGGCACCGCAGCACCCGCAAAGCACGCCGATCCAGAGCCAGCGCCTGCAGCTGCATCAGCGCGGCAGCAGCACCCGCAAAATCAAAACCCCGACTCTGAGCCACACCATTGAGAAGTTAGAGCCCCTATAGCCTGCAGCTATTTGGTCAAAAAAGTGATTTGACTTCAAACCCGATAGGGGCCCACCGAAAACCGACACCCTCTAACATGGGTGGTGGCATTGGTATGTATGTGTGAGCAGGTAGCCTCGATACCCCACCGATACCCTATTCTTCAGTCCCGGGTATATAGGCAACTTGCACTTGAACGCCAGCCTTCTTGGCATTTACCTTTTGCTAGTGTTCTTGCTGCTACTACAACGACGTCTGCTACTACCACCACCACCACCACCACCACCACCACGGCTACTACTACTACTACTACTACTACTACTACTACTACTACTGACGCGATGTCACCCTTGGCATGGCATGATTTCATGCCTGGCATGACATGACGTCATCCCTGGCATGACCTGATGTCATCCCTTGCATGACATGATGTCATCCCTGGCATGACGTGATGTCATCCCTGGACCAGAGCCAGCACCTATACGCCAGCACCTGCACCTGCACCAGCATCAGCACGGAAAAGTTAGAGCTCCAGATAGCCTGCAGCTATTTGGGAAAAACGGTGGATGCTATGGGCCACCAGGTTTTTGCGAGCTCAGTTTGTTTAAATCCATCAGTCACTTCAACAATCCAATCTTGTACCAAGCAGGAAAGCATGATACATATCCACACGACTCCACACTTGTATATTTTCAGAAATGTCCTAACACACAAAAAAACAAAAAACAGTCCTGCAAGGCACTTTGCCCACAGCAGAAGACAACAACAAAAACATTCCCGACATTTGCCCAATCAGTGGCAATAACCCTGACACTTTCGTCCGCCTAGGAGGAGTTCTTCGGGTGACAGGGCCAAATTTTTTTGGAAACGGATTGACGTGCCTTCGTCATGTGAAGGAGCCATTGGCCTGGTGGTCTACCAGTACATGGATGCTTGGTCGGGATATGGCGTGTTGATTGAACCCTTTGTTGGTCGTGGAGCGTGTTTGGAAACGTGATGGGTAAGTTTTGGGTTCCTATGTGTTCAGGTGTGGCTGGACAAAATGGGGCAGCTATAAACGAGGGAGCTGGAAACAAGAACCAGTTTGTCCTTGTTTGGGATGAGTGGACGAAGTAATCAAAACCAATAAGGCAAAAAATGATCAAAACATGTTTTTGCTGTGTGATTGGGGCCAATACCTTAAAACGGGCAAAATGCGGTGGTGTGTTCTGTGTTTGTCTATCAGTCTATCAGCTGTTTTTTTTTTTGCGTCACAGATCTACTGGAAAATCATGGATCCCATTCGCTCTCGGAAATCGAATCACCAACGGCTGCCCATTTTGTTTAGACACCCATTTTGGTGACTTCCGCTGTGATTGGTTTCGTTTGGTTTACTACTTACCCTCCAGGTCAAGGACCACATGTTGTTCGATTTTTAGTCCATTAGTCCATGAGGTAAAGAACCAAACAACTTGTTTTGCTGGGCCTTTGGACCTGTAGGGGTTTTGTATCGATGTACTTCAGGTACTCTGTCTTCAGACCGTTCTGGTTGACTTTCCATACCTTCCGTACAGACCGTATGCGTGTCGGTCTTCGTGGAGCCGAGGATAGCTTAGGAGGTGGCAACCTGGACTTCGACCTCGAAAGTGCCTTGAGCCTGTTCGGAGTACTGCAGCTGTACACATACCCACGGGGTTGTGGTAACTGTCGACGGTATTTCATTGAAACAAGCGTGTTTCAGTTCGCTCTCTCGCAGATGGTCGGCCCGGTCAAGAACATGCAATATGAGACTCTGCTGCTTCAAACTTCTGCGCTAGGTGGAAGAAGCAACAAGCACGGAAGTTGGACATGGAGGGATTAGCCCCAAATCCTGTTGATTTGGATCATCCGGTGCCTCATGGGCAGATCCATGAAGCTGTGCGATGCATCCGTGTTTCTCAAGGGCCAATGCAGATTTCATGGTCACCTTGACACAGGGGCCGGCTGGAAAAAGACAGCTTCTTCTTAAGCCCTTAAGCCTATGGCCAAGACCTGGTTGGCACCTGTTTCTTACAAGGTTCGGAACTTGTTTTGGAACCACGGAACGTTGCAAACCTTCTGGCCTGCTTTTCTCAGCTCGGCGCTTGGCACTGGCTGGGCGCACATGGGCGGAAAATCCTCCCGGCTGCCTAGGTGTGGGCAATACCAGTGCAACGTGCCTCACCAAGTGGTTGCGGAGGAATGATATCACATCTTGGATGCTTGGCCAACATTTCGGCGGATGAAGTTCTGGTCGATGCAGACTTGGGATGTGGTTCTCGTTGAGCAAGTTCCTGAGCCAGATGAAGGGTCAGCTCCTTGTGAGCCTGACGCTTTCAGGGGCACGCTTTTAGATAGCCATGCTGGTATCACTATAGTATAGTTACTATATAGTTTAACACTTGGGCACTTGAGTGTTGGCACTGCGAAAGTCTTTTTTCCTGCGGCGCCGCTTCGTGTGGGCCGCCCAGCCCGTGATTCGCCTAAGGGCGGAGGCTGATACTTGGGATAGATGGTTCAGGCAACTGGGCTGCAGAGTGACTCCCTTACTTGGACGAACAAGGAATCCCAGGTACACTAGGTTTCAGGGTTCGTTCGCAAGCATGTCTCGGGGTCTACACCGCATGGTCTTTCGTTGCCATCCCAGTGGAGCTGGGAACCCGCGTGTCATGCAAAGCAATGGATCCATGAGACCCGAGTAGGAAAGTCCTTTGGGCCAGTCATATTGGCAACATGAAGAATGCAGTGCCGTATAACAGATCAAACCGATTGGTGTGGGGTCCCTTTGCAATTCCTGGACCTACTGTATGTGCATCTGGTGCTTCTCGCAATTGCACCGCCTGAACATTCTTGGTTCACTTACTTGGGGCGGATACGATGGACGTGCTGAGGCAACTCGCACTAGAATTCCCGAGGCGCAGGCTTTGCAGATTCAACATATATTCATTCACACTCCTGTTTCTAGAAGCTTCTGGAAAGAACTCCTGTGCCATATATTCATTCAACATCTATTCTTGAACTTCATCCATTCACACTCCTGTTTCTCCACCTGTGGTCAGTGACAGCTGACTCCTGGGAGGAACTTGTGGCCTCATCCCGGTTTCGAGCAAGCGCCTTTGACGTGGCCGCGCCTTTGTGAGGTATCAAGCCGATGCGGACACCTACGTGGCACTGCACACGTGTGATCCATACCCCACCCTGAATGAGACCTGTGCGACTTTGCGTGCCCTGGCGTCGGGATGGCAGGGGCTACTTGTGCAGGAGGTGTGGCACCAGTGGGGGTGACTGTGCGTTGTGGGAGGACCTGTTCCGAAGGCATGAACCTTAGATGTTCAGTCTGTCCTATTTACTTGTAACAGTCAGTAAAGAAATCTCTATGTTTGAACAAGGCCCGCCACTGAACCATCATCCATTGGTACTGGTCATGGGAGATACCCAACTTAGATTCATGGCCCAACTTGATTCATCTAACAACGTGAGCAGGTGTGGGCCATTGTTTTGATGGCGGCTTTGAGCAGATCGGCATTGGACCGTCGACGAAGTTTGGTTCTTGAGGTTTTTGAAGGAAAGGACACCGTTCGGGCACCTGGTACTAGTAGGAAAGGAAGAACTTATATTCCAGACACGACCCATGGGACTGCCATATATGCCGATCAGTTAGGGTGGTGCCAGGGGGGTCAATGGGGCGGCAGTCCTATGGCAGTCCCATGGGTCGTGTTTGGCTTTTCTTGACCTTTCTGCCATAGACATGGATACTTGGGGGCGGGTTCTCCGCCAGGCAGTCAGGCGGTTGTCCACCGAGAGTTCGATGAGGACCCCAGACATTTGGCCCTTTCCGGTGTTGAGCGTTGAGCATCAGACGGGAAAGTTGAGGCGTGGGATGAGGGCTCTCCGACGAAATAGAAGTGGAAGCCACCCTGTTTGTAGTCGTTTTCTGCAGTGTTTTTTTTGTTTTTTAATCTATTTGTTCTTGTTCATCTCCTGCCCAGTGCCCGGCGGGCAGGGAGATGCAGGGAGATACCTGAGACTGACATCTCTGCCTGACAGCTCAATCTGCCCAGCTCAGTTGCCGCTCCGCCCGCTCCACCGCCCGCTCCAAGTCTTGGAGACCAATCTTCGCTCCAACTGAGGTGTGCCAGTCTATGAATTCGATAGCAAGCTGGGATACCCCTTGGGACCTGGTGAAAAGCCAAGCTTCAACAATGACCTACTGCCGCTTGGTTTCGCAGATTTCGCACCGTGGTTGGTGAGCTGAGCAGTCTGGGCAGCAGCCTTTGGAGCTGGATCGGCAGCCTTTGGAGCTGGATCTTCATGCATCTCCATTGCTTGGTTCGGGTCCTCCTTTTTGGCGAGTTGAAGCGACGAATGCATTTTTGCAGGACAGTCATGCAACAGACGGAGACATACAGAGGCATAGAAGAATGATCACTCAACAACTTCTAAGCTCTTGGTTTCATTTGTCCTGTTCTTTGCCTCTCTCATTTTATGACACCTTTTTTGGAGACTCCAGAAATCCAGCTGATCCATGCAGATCTGTTCTTTTGGGGACGACTGGACTGATGAAGGATGTGGGGGGTCCGCCACAGAGATCCAGACAAAAGCGGATCCTCATTCATGCAGAAGAGCCTCCAGATGAAAAGATCCATCATCCCTCTAGGGACTGCGGTGGATTTCATATGTGGAGTCTGAAGGATTCTTACATGGTTTGCCTTTAGACGTTGAAGACGATGTCCGTTTGAGGGGAAGGATCCGGACCAGTGCATCCTGTCCTCACTCGGCTCTGTTTGGAGGACCACTGACCACACAAGCGCCGTGATTTCGGGGTTTGTTGGGTCGACGGGATTTCTTCTTCAGGTGAGGAAGAAATGCAACGAGCGGATGTAGATGGAGAATGATGGACATGTGACATGTGTAATGTCCCTGACGTTTTGGCGATCTGAAGCATGTCATTTGGCATACGTCACTTTGTCGCGATTTGTCGGCGAGGTATGCCTTTGCATACACCTTCTTGGCCCTGGGGACTCTTGGCAAGCCGCTGTTTGTTGACCTGCTTGAACTGCTTAAGCCCACTAGGCCCAGTTGGAGCAAGATGTTTCTGCGATACACTCCCTAAGATGATCATGGTTGCATGGATGGCATGGCCCCTTAGATGACCGTTTTCGCCTACAAACAGGTGGTTTTCACTCTTCAGGGAGTGGAACCCTCCTCATCGACCCATCTGCAGGGTGCTGCCATGTGTTCTGTCGTGCGATGTGGCATGAGACAGCTAGGTATTGGTCATTCAACGCGAGACGTATGTGACAGCTTGGGACATTGCAACATGATTAGCCTACCCAGGAGCAGTGGACCACCTGCCCAGCCTTCGGGGGCACCCCACTCGGGAGAAGGTTCGCTGGCGGATCGTTCTGAATCGGCTTCGCTGGCCCCAAGGATATTGAACCTGATCGGCTTCGCTGTTCATGATCTCACCCTCCTTTCCAGGAGAACAGATGAATCATGATGAATCAGTTTGTGCTGAATGATTGCTAGAAAATTACTCCGTGATGCTTTTTCTTGTGTGAGTTTGGTTATGTTTGATTGATGCTTGTTTGTTTTGTTTCTGGTGGTTGTGGTTGTTGACATGCACATACGACATCATACGACGCTCCAACTTTGGCAAGCGGCAAGCTGACCTGATGGTCAGGAAGGACCATGCCTCTTCAACCTCTTCAGCACACCCCGTTCTCAGTGCTTTCAAGCGATGGTTGAAGACTGTCGCCAGACTGCTTCACCCACCCTGTCAGCTGCACAGGAGGAACCAGAACTACATCCTTGACTTGCCGGCCTTCAATCAAGGTTAGGGTGCCAAGCAAAGACTGTGGATGGACCTGACATGTTGTCCAACATGACTTGTTTGGACAGTGGGAGCATGTGACCACTGGCCTGGCGGTGTTTGTATCCTGGATAGGGCTGGGCCGGGAAGGGAATGTGTTTTTCTACCTTTTTACCAGTTCAGGACGATGCATCTCAAAAACCAGACGTTTCAGACGAGCGTCCGGTCAAACAGCCGAGAGTCCCCCTCAAACGAGACTCGCGGAGGCGACGCGCGCGCGCATGCGACGCGCGCGGATGCGCCTCAGGCTTTCCCTACTTCAAGAAGTTTGCCATGCTATCAGGCGTCGGTTTCCGTGCTAGCACACTCTAGCACGACCACTTGGTGACCTCGCCGGTCCGTTTTGATCCGTAAAGACACCCATCTTAGACTCACCAAGATGGAAGTGGATGGCATGGCCCGGAAAGGAAGACGTTTTTCCTTTGCATGGAAGTAGGGGTGGCACCCCCACTTCCATGTGACGTGTTCTTCGGAGTGTAGTTGATTGAAAGAAATGTGCAGATGGTCACTGAATACACTAATACTAAAGACATCTAAAGACTAATTAAAGACTATTAACAGTTTTGAATCTTGTTGCTGTCCATTTTTGAGGGTCTATATTTAGTATATATCTTCGTAGCTTGCCTTGTGAGGTTCAGTCAATGAGGGTAGCCATACACTGTATAATATATATATGTATATATGTATAAATATATATAATATTTGTGCGATTTGTGATTATGGCATATGAGCTGCTACATGTATCATTTCTATCTCAACTTAATGTGGGCGCTCGCTGAAAGCTTTTTGATGTGCGAGCTAGGTCCGAGTATATCTACACTCAGAATCCGTTGATGGCATCCTTAAACTATCCCAATCTAGCTAGAGAGAGAGAGAGCGCAACAATTGCCAATGAAATTCCACCAAACTAATGGTTGGCTTGCACTGGGGGTGGGCACTTCGCTCATTTGTGGGCACGAATCGCAATGGCATCTACCAGGTCCTGGTCTTCGTCTCTTCCGTTTGTGGGGCAGGCATCCCCATTTTGCCAAAGCTCTTCTCGATCGAGGGCACCGGGCGAACGCTAGCGATTGCCATAGGCATCATTTTGCATCTTGGGCTTCGGAGATGGACTGGTGCCCTACAAGTCAGTCAGACTATGATGGCCGGGCTGAGACCACGTAGTATAGTTAGGATAGGCCTTGCTGAATAGTATATATAGTAGGGCTCAGTATGGGGTGGAAGATGGGCAAGGCCTGGAACCTCACTAGTAGACCTGGTCTCCCACGTGGATCTTCCGAACTTCCTTCATCATAGGGCGACTTCTACGGATAACAAGGCGGGGGTGGGAATGACTCACATGAATCCTCCAGGCTTGCGGGACCGGTGCATGAGAGGGGTGCCATTCTTCAACCCTAAGCTTTTTTCCCTAGGGCTCCAACCACCTCCTGAGAAGATGGGCCAGGGGTGGGTGCCAGGGGGATCTAACCACCGAACCTGAGGATACGGGACAGGAGCCCTAGGCTTTGTTCAGTTCCATGGCCTCCGGGTGGTGGTTTTCATGGATAGCCCGAATCACCTCGATCAGGAGCTATAAATAGACATCCCAAGCAGGGGCCCTGGTTGGTATGTCTTTGGTCAGAATTCCGGAATTGATGACCTAGCAGAGCAGGACATTTGGCTTCGTTGTTCTTCTCATCCCCATGGATCCACTGGCCCGGGCCTGGGGATCCCGGCGTACGGCTTCGCCAAGGGCTCCGTTCATCGTGGTTTGGGCCATCCTCTTTTTGGCCTCTCGGTTTGCAAGAGTCTGGGCAACGAGCGGATGGAGCAGGAGCTATGAGTGGAATTTTTGCATATCCATGTTCCGTAAGTAGATCAAGTAGATCACTGACTACAGCTCAGAATCGTCTATGACTCTCTTGAGATTCAACTCGATGAATCCTGTCTTTGCGGCTCGCCGGAAAGCCGTTGACGGGGCGACTCGCATGTTTGTTTTCTTGGCGACCCGGCCAATCGACTTCCCAAAGTTGCTGGTATCAAGTGAAAGGAGTGCCTTGTCAATCAGTTGCCCTAGCTGTGTTTTTAAACTCTATATAATTAATATTGTTTATAGTATTATAACAATATATAACACAATATATGTACTCACTTGAAAGAATGGTCTTAAAAGCGGTGCAAGTGACTGGGTGGACACATGAAGGGCATGAAGCGCACGGCGGAAGGGGCCTTTCCACCAAGTAGAGGCCACTCTGTTGACCAATGGCGTAGGGCTTCTGGGAAGGCCTTGAAGGGAATACATTGCTGTAATCATGTTTATGTGGATGGCATGGCCCCTCGGATCGCTTTTTGCCTCTACAAACAGGTGAGTTTCCACTTCCATTACTACCTCTAAGGAGTGTATACAGCATCGTTAAGTAGCGATCCTTCTTTGGGGGCCAGGATGGTTTCAGGCAGAATTCGTCATCCCTGCTGCACCCAAAGCAGCTATTCATGTAGCTCATTGTAGCTCACATTGCTGGTGGTGTGGCTTAATAAGTCTTAATATATAGAGACATGATAATGATACAATTGCGATAGAGATCCAAGACGTTTGCCTTTTACGAACAGGTTGGTGGACAGGTGGATGGGGACCTAAGGTGGATGGACAGATGGACAGGTGGATGGGGACCTGAGGTGGTGATCATCACGCCTTGCATGGTGCTCCTATTCTTTCGATATCCAGCACCTTGGAGAAAAAAAACATGAGCAGCTTTGGAAGCAGCTGTTTGTTTCTATGCAATTCCGTGCGGTTTCGTGCTTTTGACAAGGCATCCTTCAGCAGTTCATTTGATTCATTGATGTTCGCAGGGCAAAACCACCAATATGGAGATGTACATTGAGATGTGAATACAGGCCACGCAAAGATGGCGAAGCGCCAGAAGTGCTCAAAAAGAAATGCTAGGCATCCTAATATCCAAAGAGATCTGTAAGACATTGCAAGACATTTGGAACAAATTCTCGATAAAAGGAGCACATTTTGGCCGGTTCGTTGCGAAAAAGAGCACCAACCAACGATGCACCAACTCACTGGGCCACCTATATCATTTGCTCGGGGAACCACCCGAGGTGCGCTTGAGCCGCTTCGCGGTCTTCCTCACCTTGTTGGCACCGTCCTCAGAGTCTCAGTCCTCGGTCGTATAGCCGCACTGATACCTTAGCCGCCTGAGACGAGGACTCTTTGCGGAGGACTCGGAGGCAACCCAAGACTCCGGGTGCAGCATTTCAGCATATTTCAGCATTTGCTATAGGGAGGCTTTCCCACGGAGTGAAAGGAGATGATCGGAGAGAAGGGGTTCAGTGTAGGAAGTCACTGGATGCCCCTTCCTGACGAGCGGTTCGTCCGACCTTTTGGGCTGTTAAAAACAGGTGTGACCCAAAGGTGTGACAAGAAAGGCTTTCATCCACCACTACCATAGGGGTAAAAGGAATGAACATGAGTCAGTTGGAGGCCATCGCTATGAGTCGCATGTTCGTCATGACTGGACTCTCAGGGCTCGTGCTTCACCCATTCCCCGAGGCCACCTCGATCTTTGGGCTTACCATGACCATCATCCCGCCGCTCTGGCAGCACACATCGACCTGCAGCGACGGGGAAAACGATGCTTTCACGATGGCCGCAGCCACCGGACCCTACGAGGGGTACCTACCAGTCAAACCTGAAAACCACGAAAAGAAATCTTTTTGAACAAAAGACATCTTTTCCGGAAATAGTTTTCTTTCTCCGGGTTCTCCGGGTTAGTGCGGGTATTCCTTTCTTAGTCCGGTTTTTCTTTTCTTGGTCCGGTTTTTCTTTTCTTTTCACTGTTTTCTATTAGTAGGTGGTGTCTGACCCCTACCGGATGTTGAAACACTTCCATGGCAACCCTGGCCCTCGTGCATGTTTTTCCACCAGGTTCACTGTGGTCAAGTCCGCCACAACCGCCATAGAGACGTCAAGTATACATCCAACATCCTGTGGATGGTTGACTTTGGTGAAACACGTCGGCTGTATCGGGCAAGTTGCCCCACAAAGCCCTCATCCATCTGGCAGTTGTCACACATCGGCGACTCCTGCCAGGTCAACTTCCTTGCATCCAGCTCCATGTTACGGAAGGTGAGCACAAGCATGTGGAATTTCGAATGTAGAGGGAAGCGGGGCTCACCACGTTCAAGAGATTCTGTCGCCAATGCCCTGTAGCCTCTGCAGGCACACAGCCCATCAGCAGCAATGCCAGTGGCTTCATCATCTCGGAGCCAAGCGCCAGCGCCATACAGCTTGCGCATGCAAGAGTTTATGCTTTTTGCCACAAGCAATATCAAGGCAAGGCGCCTGTCAAGCAGCACCAGCTCCGCGCGATCAGGCTGCATCAAAGCACTTTCAAGGAATTCCTCAGCAATTGAACTCGGGACGCACTTACCAACCAAAACCGCGGAACAAAGAACATGCATGGATACGAGATCAAAGAACAAGCGCGCACAGCAAAGTTGTCGTTGAACCCTTCTGCCAACCTCCCTCAGGCCAATCCAAAAACGCTGTGTAGCCACAGATCTCCTTTGTCAGTTTGCTCAAAGGAGGCTTGACTTTCTTGAGGCGGCAAAAGGCTCTCCACGAACACGTCATGCCAGCAAAGCCATCGTGCACAGATTCTTCATTCCAAAGGCTGCGGACTATGATGAACGCTGAAGACAAGAAATACCGGCCGTGGCCGAGATGCCAATTATGCCAGATGTTACAGCAATCACAAAGAAATCAAACAATTTGCAGTGCAAAGGTCCAGACTAAACAAAGGCTGCAGCAAGAAACTGCGACAGAAATGGCTCCGGGTTAAACATGCCTGCTGTCCGGGTTACATCGGAATATCGATGCGATTAAGCTGCAGAAATGGTTGTCAAAACCCTGCGAGTTAAATGGCTGCGCAACCATGAAAAGGGAAATAAAAAGCTGCGAGCATGAAAAGGGCGCCAGAGCTGCAAATGGTCTGCGGGCATGCACAAATGGCTGCGGACAAGCAAAAAGGGCAATGTACGGCTGCAAAAGGGCGCCAGAGCTGCAAATGGTCTGACTGGCACACACGCACACACCCAATGGATGGAAGCCAGGACTGGCACACACACACACACACACCCAGTCCTGGAAGAACAACCCTGGCACACACACCCAGTCCTGGAAGAACAGCCAGGACTGGCACACACACACACACACACCCAGTCCATGGACGGAAGCCAGGACTGGCACACACACACACACCCAGTCCTGGAAGAACAGCCAGGACTGGCACACACACCCAGGACTGGCATTTGCTGCGGGCGTGTACAAATGGCTGCGGACAAGTGAAAAGGGCAACGCACGGCTGCAAAAGGGCGCCGGAGCTGCAAATGGTCTGCAGATTTGCTGCGGGCATGCCAAAATGGGTGCGGGCAAGCCTGCCAAAACAAGCTGAAGGAAAAGGCAGCAGAAAAAACACGTACAGCGCGCTTTAAAGCTACGGGTTGAAAGCGTGAAAGGACGGCAGAATTTAAAAGGCTACGGGATGCTGCGGGAGGCTGCAGCAAAGAGCTCTGGAAAAGGCTGCGGATTTGAATAAAAGGCTACGGCCGGAAAAACAGCTACAGAACAAGAGCAATCAAGAAATGGCTGCGGACATGGCGCCAGAAAAAGGCTGCAAACATGTTAGAAACGGCAAATAGGGAAAACTGCAAACAGGTGGCCAGAAGCTTCGAAAATACAAGCCGAACATCACGCCACACACGCACACACACAATCAGTCCTCTGCGCCGCGGGCTCTGGGCGAAGACTTCTTGGTTTCCAACTGCACAGGGCCACGCGCAAGCGGCGAGAACAAAAGACAAGCAAGCCTTCCAGGCCTTCGTCCAGTGCTCCATGTCAACACCCCATGCTCTCAAGAGTTCACCAGTGCAAGCATCCTCGGACTGATCGAAGCAAACAATTGTACTGGGCAGAGGAGTGGGGCATTGAGACAAGTCACTCGAGGAGGCGTCTTGTTGTACAGGTACTTTTTCAAGAGGCTGCACAAGTACCGCAATGACCATGCTTGGTCACTGATCACTTTTCCAGAAGGGTTGAGGCCAGCCGAGATGTAGAGCGCTTGCAACTCAGCCTGCAAAGATTCAATTTGAGGAACGACATGAAATTGGCCGCGCATCTTCTCCATCATCGGCTTCAAGGCCGGGGCATTGTACTTCATGTTCTCCACCGTCTTGGCCACAACCTGCCCTGCCTCTTCCGCCTCTCCTTCTTTCGGCTTGTCAACCACCAGCCGGCCGAGACTTCGCACGCGCTCCCGCAAACGACGGTGGTTGTCCCACTCCTCCTGGTGGAATCATGAGGGGCAACAGAGCAGCACCTAGACCGGAACAAGCGTGGCTGCATAGTGCACGGCTGCATGAAACATAGCTGCGCAAACATATAGCTGCTTCAAACACAGCTGCTTCAAGCTGCATCAAGACGGCTGCGTCAAACGCTGCACTTGCGCGCTCCCCCGCGAAACAAGCCAGGATGACGGAAGCATGCACGCGCTGCATTGCCCACGCTTGAACAAAAATGGCAGCGCATCCACTCATGTGAGGATTCTCGTCCGAGTCCGGGTTTTCTTTTCTTAGTCCGGGTTTTCTTTTCTTTCCCTCTTCCTTCGCAACCGCGATTTTTTTTGCTTGTTTGCGGTTTGCCTGGTATGGGATAGCGTATAGTAGCCTATAGGGTTCTAAAACCTCTGTTGGAAAGAGCGATTGGAACCAACTGGATCATACTTGAAATGAGACCTCCGTTGCTTGTCACGAGCTGTTCGACCAGTCTTTAGGGTGCAAAGTGGCTGCCAAGGTGTGGCTGGAAAGCTGCTATCACAAGCACTGCGGTGTGTGTTTGTGGTGGTATGTGGTTCTCTCTTCAGTGACGGTAGACTTTGTGTGGATGATGTTAGTCTAGTGCTAGTCTATTATTAAAACAGCAAGAATGGCCAAACTGAAGTGAGTCAACTGATACGGCTACGGCAGAAACACTGAGCTTTAATAAAATAATGGCTTCCCTTGGAGAAGAAGCAAGTGTAGACGTATGTGTAGACATAATATTTGAGGGGGGTTGCTTTTGCGTTCCCGTCTAATTTTTGAGCAGATGTTCAAGATGGGCTTTTGGTTTATTAGCAGGAAGGACAGGGTCGTTGCGTTTTTGTTTGAAAGCCTTGTTGGTCTTCAAGTGCCACTTGGAACTGGAAGCTGAACATTCAAATCAACGTGTCCAAAAGTCCGTGGCAAGGTGGATACCACAGGCCACAGGATGAGTAAATCTCCACATCAAGTTGTGGGAAAGACACGTCGTATTACAATACCATCTAAGACCACATAGCTCAGATTCTGCTTGATGAGTTTTATTTTTGCGCAGCTAGGTTCAGGAAAGTCAGCATCTCAGGGATGATCAAGATGGTTCAAACCCCAAAATGATACAGGAGCAACCCCAACCATCTCTTCACACAGAAAGGGGTATGATATGATATTACTGTATATACCAGGACCTTCCAAGAGGCTGTTTGGAGACCCGACCACAGGTGGTTTCTGGGCACCGGACTTGTCACCAGGAAGCACCTGTTGGAAGGTGCTGGTATAGAATCCGATCGACCCAAGTGATGTCCTCTTCACGAAGGATCGACTGCTGATCGACCCCTCCAGGGGCCCTCGGAACCGAGGTTGGTGTACCTGGGGAATCTCAATGAGAGGCCACGCTATGCGTTAGCCACTTGGAAGCGAGAGTTGCTAGAAGCGATTCCCGACGTCAGAGAACACAGCGTTTCGGCCCCCCCCACGGCACCCACCGGGGGGTCGGCGTGTCCCATGACCACTAACAGATGGGAATATGTTTGTGAAAGCCTTTTACTAACCATCCTCGTCCACTGTTACTGGTGATGTGCCCAATGTATACATGCACATGGGTAGTGTGCAAGGCGCCGGGCTGGAAGAATTATATAGAGGTTGCAGCTTCACGTTTGGGAAGGCAAAACGTATCAAAGTGGGAGGTTTTAGGCGTGTTTGGAGTGAGGAGTGCCTTTCTATTCTTTGTGCTGTACATGTTAATGTAGCCCACCATATCCTCGTTCAGAACTGGCAGATATTTCTGCTCAATTTTGCCATCAGACAAGGCATCAGCAAGCTTCTTGGAACCTCGAAGCATGTTCATGCTTGGCGCTCTCCAGGTCTACCAAATCCAGAACTATTCACCCGGAGAATGCGCCTCGTCCTTGTTCAGACGCATTCGGGGCAGACGCATTCGGACCAAGTTGACCCCGCGTCCGTTTGAGGAGCCAGTCACGCAAGGTGCTTACAGGGTGTTCCCTGTGGCGTAAAAGGATGTTTCCATACCAAAAGGATGCGGTTTTTGTTGGGGCCACGTTTGAGGAGCAGCCTACTTTTGAAACCATGACCCATGGCTAAATGGGTAAACCTTGTGTTCCAACGGCGGAGTCTTGCTAAAGACTCTACGCTTCCAAGTGTATATACAATAAGTACATAATCACTGTCCTTTAACTTTTATCTCCCTCCTCTACAGCCTTTGAAGCCACAAGCATGGCTAAACCTCGACCCTGTCCAATCCTTTCAACCTTACGTACTTTCCTCCCTCCTCCCCTATACGGTGTTTTTATCTAGCCACAACTGCATGGAACAAACGAACAAAATCAACAATACATGCGTCAAACCATGCGTAAAGCGATCGGATCTACCTGCGGATCAGGTTACTGCGGCTGCTCCTACTTCATCAACGCTGCCAGCCTGATCCGCATCTCCGCCATCGGGGCTGGTGCTCCTCGGCGACGTGTTAACACGGCATTTGCAGGACGTGCACGGCTCGTGGAAGACGGGAGGCGGTTTGAACGTGGAAGATGTAGGGCCTGGCTGACTTGGTTTTGCTTAGGGTGATGATGAAGTGATACCCAGGAAGTACGTGTGGATCACCTGCAGGTCACCCGCCACTTGGGGGGCAGTGGGGAGGACGCCACTTGGACAGGTGAACAGGTAGAAAAAGGTTAAACTCTATGAAATGGGAAACTGAAAAGGTCAGTGATGACTAAAGGGCTCAGTGATGAATTCCGTCTAATCCTAGATGAAGATGTCCCGTATTGTTTGAGTACGGTTTGTGTGGGCCAGTCCTCGATAGGGCGGAGACCAGAGACCAGAGAGCTGAGGGTGTGTGTTCCTCACAGCATGGATGAGTCTACAACTCCTCAATGGATTGGAAGATGACCATGCATTTAAATGCATTTAAGCATAGACAAATGTCTCAATTGGATGCCATTCGCGTCAGCTCAGCCTGCCCAGTTGAGAGAAACTAAGCTGCTTGGTGGTGATGACCATAATCGAACTCACAGATGTGTGATTGTGATGTGTTTGACTCGAGTTTGTCCATACAGCCCAGTCATCCATTTTTTGACCATGTTGGATCAGAATCTCATCATCCCGTAACAGTTGTCACCGAACCAGCTGACTTTTACAACTTGTGTTTGCAGGCTTAGTGAAGAATCACACGTAAAACAGTAAGCACATATATGCAAATCAATTAAAACCACAAGGACCCAAAAACACAGAAACAAGCCATCATAAGCCATCTATGGCTATGGCTGGTCCGGGGGTGTCAAACATCGACTTCTTTCGCTTCGTTCGCCTTTCGCCAGTCGGTCGAGGTGACCTTCAGCAGCTGTTTGAGTGCCTTCCGATGCCTCAAGGGCCTGAGAAGGGCACAATGGGCCAACCTCATGCCGCGCGGAACTGGAAAGGGTTAACATCCGCGTGGATGTTTGTTGGGTTAGCGGGGATGATTTGCAAGCCAAAGACCTTAGCAAAGAGTTGTGTAATGAGCATTCATGAGCTTAATAATTGTTTGGATCATCCATGACACCAAACGGAGAAACAGACTGTGTGTTGTCATTAGAGGGGTGACTTTTGGAGTGGATCAAGAATCCGAATGCATTGCTAGCTGGAAGTATTGCTGGAGGGCTCCAAAGTTGTTCGACATCCATCATGTTCCTTGGGCTCCATGGTAGACCATGGTAGACCAAGCACTCGATTGAAGCACTTTTGAACGTCGCGTTACGATCCATGTGGCCGCCTTCTTGATGTTCTTGACTTGCCCAAACGCACATTGTCAAGCCCTTCACTGCAAAAAGTCCGGAGAGTCATATTGTATTTGGAGTTTGATTATGGAGCCAAGTTGAGTGAAATTGTTCTTCGTGCCACACACCTGTGGATGCTCATGGCTCAACTCAAGCCAACTCCGAGGTCTGTTTTGCTTCTCGGCAGGGACATGACCAGCCGCAGGGAGCTGGGGATGTGGTAAGTGCGGTGGAAGTCCTTGTGCCGGTGGTGCCGGTTACTGTCCCAACTAGGTGTGCAGTAGAGTTGCTGAAGGTTTGCAAGGACATGTTTACAGAGGAAATGGCAGAAGTCTTGTGGAAACATGGTGAATCTTCGCACATTTGTGTGGGAATGCCAAGGCCTCTCGCTGGGCGCTTGCACCAAGCAATCTTTATGTTATATATCATACAATATCACACATATTCATAGATTATCCAAGGTTGGTGAAGGTGTTCAGGACTTTGGGAATGGGACAGGTGTTGCGAAGGTTTGAAAGTTCATCAGTTCAGTTGCGCCGTTTTGGACGTGCAGTGCACATTCAAGAACGATAGTTGGACATACGTTTTGAACCAGGATATGCTGGTACCTCTTTGGGTTGAAATGCGCACATTTTGAACGGACTTTGCATTTTCTCCAACCCAACTTGCTCGAGCCAAACCGACCCCCAAAAAAAACCACAGGAAAGAAGACGTAGCAAACCTACAGAAGACTGGAGAATCTCAAGTTCCCCAAGTTCCCCAGCCGAAACACGTGCACCACGCAGAGAACGGACGTCTTTCGCTCTTCGGTCTCTGCGTTCGCCTCAACGGCCTCACCGGCCCATTCCGTCGGGACGAGTGAGACGACGAGACAGGTTCCCGGTGCCGGTCACCGTGTATTCCGTCTTTTGGACCACGCCGAATGGTGATCCCATTCAGCACCGCAAGGCAGGGGTGGTTGTGGCAGGGTGGTTTTGATGGGTGGAGGGGAGGTTTTGATGGGTGGACAAGGGGGGGAACGAGAGAACGGCATCAGTTGAGAACGGATCTTGCTTCTCTTTTTCGTATGATTCAAGAAGAGAGGTGAAGAGGTGCCAGAATGCTCCATTGCTTCTATTGCATGATGACTGTTTTTGGTGGTGCCTCCATGACTTTTGTGTGCCGCTCCTTCGGACAAAGATTCTTAAGATGACATGACGAGAGAAGTTCTGCTGCAGTGTGGTTGCTTGAACTCGCCTTATCCCACCACAATGTAGTCACTGCATTCATGGACGTGTATATAAATTGAACCCATGTTAGGAGAGGAGCATATAGACCCCCCACATAGATAGAACAGTAAATCCCACTATCTGTAATTCATAATGTTGGAAACGGTTTCTATCCCATTAGGAGACCACTACAAGATCGCATCGTGCGAGGGTTGAAAGTCCAGATGTAAATCCTATTGCTTCTGACGGTTTTTTGAGTCGTGACGGGCGCTCCTGGTTGAGCAGTCGGTTTCTTTGGACATCGAAAACGGCTTCATCGGTTCCTTCGTCTTTCTCCACGTCACTGATCTTTGGAGGTTTGCAGTTCCGCAGTTCCGCCCCACCTTTTGTTGAAACCGTGCAGCTTCATGCAGCTTCCAGTTCGCGACGGCAGGAGGGAGAGCCAGTCCAAAGTGAGATGGCTTTCGACCCCTTCGCGCTTATGGATGAGCAACCCGAGAGTCGATCCTTGCTGAATCAATTGTCGAGCGGAACTTGGGGTCGTCGAAGGGGGGATCTGAAAGAAAGAATCCGTGGGAGTGTCACCGGTGGATTTAGTGACTAATGGTTGGTTATATGCTAAGCTGCTATGGTCACCAAGCCTCAAGAAGGTTCGATCTTCACCACTTATATAATATGTCACTCTCCCAAGGCTTAGCTTTTGAAAAATACGAATAAATATGTCTTGAGCAAATTGACCATGGCAACGAAAAGCACAGAACTTGGTGTTGAAATCTTACCCAGGCAGTATACCTCTCTCTTCTTGTTTGGGGGAATGGACTGTTCTCTTGAAGGGGTCATCAAAAGCAAGAGCGGGGCTGAAGTGTCATGAGTCATAAAGTTAATTGGATTTATTTGGGTTATTAGGTCCTAAAGAGATGGCTCGCAAACATGCAACGAGGTCACCCGTGCCAGACAACTCCAGTCAATCTCCCAGCAGCGGTTCCGGCATCCAGCACATGCGCAGTGATCCGTTAGCTGATGGTAGCTGATTGCAGATCACATCACACCCAGCTCTTCGCAACACACAACTCGCTGAGAGACCAGTTAGATGCGCCAGAACTCCTGAACTCCAACGTTCTTTGCGCATCCATGTTCCGAGTCATCTTCCAGTCGCTTCAGAAATACCACACATCTGTGGCGAGGGCGCTTGCATCCTGGTGATCCAGAGGCGTTTAGCACCACTTGGAATAGACAAAACCAGCCTCTTGAGAGGTCAAACGGACCAACGGCGATTTGTAGTTGATCAGTTTTGTTGCCAGCCTAGATGACCTTTGTGTTGAAACCTGGTGCGGGTGGCTTGGTCTTTGTAGACCTTCAGTTGGGACAGCCCTCCTCAACGACTGCCCATAGCTGGGTGAGATTGCCACTTCGACTACTGAGGATATACGACAGCCACTTGATGCCGAGAAGCAACGGGGGGTGGTGGCCTTGTAACGGAGATGAGATCCAGATTTTCCCCTCTCCAAACCAAGACGCAGGTTCCCGTGTAATGATATTCAATCAACTTATTATACCACTAGCACTGTGATGTGTTTGAAAGGAAGCTCGGCTGGAGTAGCGAGTAGCGCGGACTTGTCATGCTCGGTGGATGTGACTCCTATTGGGAATCAACTTCAGTAGTGCAAAGTCGAAAGGTGCTGGGACAAGAGCCAAAAGACGCGCCACACTTTGAAAGACCAAAGAGGCCAAGTTGGAGAAGCAAGAGCTGGAAGAGCCTGACATGAGTTGTACTAGGTAATGTACTATATGCAATTATAATATTATTATAATAATCAATTATATGCAAGTATTACTACATATAGTATGAATTTATTGTTTTCGGTACTGTACTTCTTACTATAACATTGTACATTACACTATAATCAGACTATTCCGAGTATCATCACCACCATATCGCGTCCTTGCTGTACGTACTGCACTCAGCTAGCGACAGCTACACTCGCCTCGGCCCGCGATCGGAAGGTCCATCCGGTGTAGGGTCGGTCACCCGGTTTGGTCGAGTGAAACGGAGCACTGGTTTGAACATCAGTTCCGTCCCTCCAAATGGTTGGGAAACAAGATCTGAGCTGAGTCTGAGTCCATTAAGAATCACTTGGCTCAAGTCCCAAGGAGGTTTCTCTTTCTCACGGTTCGGAGACTGTTCGGGCTTAATAGGGCAACGCGAGTCGTCTAACCCCGGATGAGACGTGACGCTGCAAGGTGACCCTGAAACCGGAGTTTGCCTATGAGACTCGGAGAGCTTAGACTCGGGGGATGGGGCGAGCAAGCCTATCCACTGATGGATACTACGAACAATTCTGCTGTTTGGGCCGAAAACAGAAAGACTGCTGCCCTGGGGCTCAGACCGCAGAGCCACCTGCTTTTCCACAGCATGTCGCATAAAGTCCTTCTTGTCTTCAGGCATTCATGGATCGGCCCTAAGGGGGATATCATGATATCTCTTAATAAGCTGCAAGTGGTCGGTGGTCGATGACCCCAAGAACTGGATGTTGTCTACGTCCAAGAACTGCATCGAACTAGATCGTCAGCAACACCCCATCTAAACGCACAGAGCTGGTGAGTTTTCACCCTCGCACAGGGCCTAGACGGTGGTGAACTGCCTCCCATTGAGTCGGTGGCACAGAGGTCGTCCTCGGGCCATCTCCACAACCACATCGGTGCGAAGAGTTGCATGTTGTGAGGTGGGTGACAGTCCGCCATTCTCGACTGCATCCACAGATTCATTTTGAACGAAGCCTTTACTCCGTAGACTTGTGGCATACTTGATAGGGACCAGGTTTTAAATCAACTTATTCATGTTGCCCCCGTCAACCAGCATCCCAACCAAATCTTGATTCAGAGGTAAATCCCTCTACTATTGAAGCACCAGTCACCAATCCTTGATGGCGCTTGTTGAACTGAACCACTCACCTTTGCAAGGGCGGGAAAGGATGCAGGTTTGGAGTTTTGGAGATCAATCGGGACCAGTGACATCCAGGGAACAACCCCCCAAATTACCGCAAAAGCAGATGCCCCAACCCAGCACGTCCGACCTCGCGACTGGCGCCCAAGGATGTGGATGCAGCTGGACGGTGGAAGCCACTGGGGGACCGTGTGATGGATGGTCCCAAGCTGCCACTTTTCGATGGATTTCGACGGAGTGATGGGCGATGGTGGGAACAGACCTCCGAGCACATCACATGGTTTCGTGGAGTGAGTTCACATGGTTTCGTTGAGTGAGTTCGCCGTTTTCAAGAGAACCTCGTCTTCTAAGGGCCCATATGTTCCATTTTCCATGTGAGTCAGTGACGCGGAGTATAGCTCGGCGGCTGCGTAGAATGCGCAGAATGTTAAAGGAGTGTCGTACTTTTTCGGGCCTTCCATCGCGTAGGATGGTGGTGCTGTCCGGACTGATTCTGCTTGAAGTCAGTCAGACACCCCGTAGACACCCCGAAGGGCTGGTGGTTTTGGGACACAGACCCAGACCTTTGAAGTCAGTTCGAGCGAACTGGCCCCCCACTGTTTGGTTTGAGCGGACTGTAAGTTCTGCTGATCCATGTCTAAGGCGTTTGGTCGACGGCATCTCAGACACCCCGTAGACACCCCGAAGGGCTGGTGTTGACACCGCCAACGTTAGCCAAACAGCTAGGGTGTCCTGGTAATTCCTGGTGTGTCCTGGTATGGTTCTCGGTGGCTTCCCAAGAAGCATCAGGGCACAGTCTCAAATCCTCCGGGTCAGACACATGAACAATGCCAATGGACCATCCATGCTTTGCGTATCAGCTTATACAACCACACCTGACCAATCCTCTTCATGAACAGCTATGTTTCCACACCACATTATCGTCAGATCCAGTTCTCGTCCCTGGATGTGACCCATTTCTGAGCACCAATGTGTGCCTGGTCTTCCTGAAACCTGCATGGTCTTCATAACTCGAGGCCTGAGTTGAAGAAGGGTGAGTTCTTCAAGCGTCCTGGGCTGCCGGACTTCGGGGACATTCGCCGGGGTCGGATTTGGAGAGTTGGACTTTGGAAGAATTGGACTGGGGGACCTGGCAGAAGATTCCAAAAGGACAAAAGGATCCCGAAAGGATAACTCAAACAAACAGTTTGTTAATGGAACCCACAGTTGGTTCTTATTCCGTTTGGGTTTCTTGGCTGTCTTCTTCGTTTGGAACTCCCACCCCATGTGAGAGTTCCACCACATGTGTTTCAAGTTGCAGGAGTCTTGGCACGCACGGACCGATCCAGGGTCACATGATCGAGGATCCAGGACCGATCCCCACAGCTTGGGGGAAGCTTGGGACACTCTGTGGGACACCTCTTGACGAGGCTATGAGGAGACAACTTTTGGAAGGTGCCGGATTTAAATAGATAATAGATAGATAGATAAGTAGATAGATAGACAGATAGATAGATAGATTCAAAAAGATAGATAGATAGACAGATCGATAGATAGATAGATAAATAGATAGATAGACAGATAGATAGATAGATTCAGATAGATAGATAGATAGGTAGATAGACATCTATCTATATGTAACATCAGCAAATATTTGGCCTACATGTCCTCGTTTGGGGTGTTGTTGGTCAATGCGGGTCATCTTTGCCGCCCCGATCGTTTGGGGTTCGGGTCTCCAGTCGCAGACTGCCGAATCGCCGTCGATTGAGGCAACCGACAGAGGTCATCGGCTGCTGCGGCTTCCCATGTCTCACTGGTGGATATCAGGTGGAGTCAAGGGCGGAGAGAGCAATGGCGATGGCGGTGGGGTGTGCTTTTCCACGGACAACGAAGATGGAGGGCACACTCAGAGGAACTCAACAGATGGAAGTGGATGGCACATGATGGCAACGTGGAGTATTGAAAGGAACATGTAATATGGTCGTCCAAAAGGGACCATGCCATCCACTTCCATGTTGCTTTATGAGTGAGAGGCAGTCAGAGGGTTAGTTGGTGCAGAATGGTCCAGAAAATTGATGTGATACTTCCAGACTTGGACTTGCATACGGGCTTGCAGCGTGTGTTGCTAAGCCCGAACCTGGGAGATTTGCAGATCGCCCATGAAGGCTGTCGGGATGACATTCACATACCTAACCTAGTAGAATGACCCTTCAATCCCCCAAAAAGTCTCTTGAACCATCACTGCCACTACTAAAAAAGATGGTGTATCGTTTGGATCCCGGAACAGTCTCCCTGAATCAAAAAGCACACAAAGAATCAACACATCACCCTTGATACGAACGCCTCACCGTCGCGGGAGGGTCACGCGGTCTGCGGTCCTCGCGGTCTAGGTGATCTACATGAGCGACGACGAAGAGGAGGAGTCCCCGTCCCTAGAGCGGGTCAAGTGACGCGGAGTCTTCGAGAAGACATGAGAAGACAGTCCTTTTTTCCCAGACACGACCCATGGGACTGTGGCAGATTTGCTGATCAGTTGGGCTGACTTGGGGGGGTCAATGTATGTTTTGGGTTTGGGAGGACCTGTTCTGCGTGTCAGACATTTGTTTTGGGGGACCTGTTTTTGGGGACGTGTTTGGACACCTGAAGTCAACTAGTGGCTTTCTAGAACATGTCAGTTGCTTATTCCGGATGAACATAGATGAACCTCTATGTGCGAAGCTAGCTGAACGACCAGCGGCAGTCCGGGTGTATGACCTAGGACCAAATCATAAAGCAATCAGAGGGCCCGAAATGGCGCTTCACCTTTGAAGTAAGACTGGAAGCATTAGAAGGATTGGGACGACAAGTTCTGTTGACCTTGGGAACTGGTTGAAGTGGTCGAACTATAGGTTCGACAGCTTTGTCCTCGCGGCCACTAGGAATGCGGGATTCTCCGATTAGTACATTGGCTTAGACATGTTATATATAATTCTTATTAGTGTAGAAGGGACCGCTGGGGTGAATCCAGCTTCGACCATATCTACTGTAGGTTTTTTTGTTCCATCAGCAGCCCAGGAGCATTCTAACGACAGGAGCTGCTGGTCGAATTCTTTTGGAATCACCTGTTTTGAAGCATAGGATTTGAATTCTCGAAGTCGCAGGTCATGCATTGAAGCATGACAGGCCAGCACTGTGAATGGTGTTCTTCTTTGGGATGTGTTGAAAGCTTGGACCTCGATATACCTCGATGCTTGATCGTGAGCATTCTATGCTGGATCGATTTTCCCATTTGACCAGAACCATTTATAAAGTGGTCCTGGTGGAGCCTCATGTTGAGGTCACCCAGTCAGATGATCCAAGAGCTAAGAGCTCCCAAAAACGGTTTTAGTCTAGACCTCTTATCGGAGGCCTCGAGGACCGTGAGCGGTGTCCTTCTTTTGCCTTTATCCACATGTGTCATGCCCAGGCAGAAGACAGCCGTATCGCCGGAGGTCATTGGCACGAGGACAGGTAGCAGTCCCTCGGCTGGTGCGGCGTTGCCCCTGTGGTTCGAGAGGGGAAGAGTGGTGCTGAGTCGGTGCTGGTCCGTGAGTCCTGGGATTCTGATCCCAAAGCAATGGCTCCTGTGATTCTGATCTGCAGGGATGAAGCAATGAGCAGCACAGCGGATCAGCTGAGATTATATTAAGTTTGTTTCTTGAAGACTCTGAAGGAATGACAGGATGACATAGTCCCAATTTGTATCAAATTGGATTAATAAAGTTTGTTTTTTGAAAAAACACATGATAGTCCCAGATCCTCCTCCAGGATTGTCCATTGACCCTCCGGAGTGCTCCAACCTCCCTCCATGCGCTGAGGCGCCGCCACTGGCTATGCCGCCAAGAACTCCCAGTCCATGCGGTCCATGAGGTCCGGCCTTTAGAAGGGCCTTGGATGGCCAGACATGGTCGGAGAAGGGCGGGCGGTTTTGAGCCCCCTGAGGTGGTTTTGAGCTAGTCTCGATCCTTGGTGATTTTGAGGTTCACGCACTAGTGTGATCTTTACTTGGTGGACAACTGCCTACTAGTGGGAGAATGTAACAATGACGACCCCGTGTGGTGGGGAGCTGAGACTAGTTGGAACTGGTGTAGCCAACCGTTGCTTGGAGGGCCTTGCGATTTGGAGAATTAGCTGCTAGCCATGTGATGGACATTTGCGCCCCATATTTGAGCTATATTCACCAGAACATTTGATGTCCAGAAAATTTCCGGGACTGGGAGGGAAATCTTGGGAAGGGGTCGGAGGAAAAGCTAGCTACGATTGGTTGAAGGAAGGAGATGTAAAAATTGATCAAGCCAGAGTCCACCAGACTGCCATACTTGATCATATTTGTTCACATGTGTTCACCCACAGATTGAACTTTTTCCACGATGCCTTTCGGCAAGAAGGAACTCCAGTTGTTTACCATTGATTTGATAAACTTTCTGGAGAAGCCCACTTACAGTCCTGGGGTGTTTTTAGAGGAAACGTCGCCAGCTGGGGGAAGTTGCATGCATGATGAGGCATACTTGGAGATGATGTCATCATGCAGTCATAATAATAGATGATGTCATCATAGATGTCATCAAGTCAGAAACAGGAGGAGGCATATGATCAAGAAGGTACATGACATGATGTCCATAATGAAGCAAGTCATTCATGGACCGTCAGTATACTGTGACGGCTGCAGTCTCATTCGCTCGCGCCAGGACAAAGCCCTCGATGATGACCGCAAGGTGAGTATCGGTATAAATATGTGGTAGTTCTTTACAGGCATGTGACACACACACACAAGCTGAGTGGCCATAGCAAAGCCAAATCAACGATGCAACGTTATGTGTTGAGATATCGTGGTGTAGGATTTCTTCGATTATGAGTAGTTCATCAGAGTCGCCCAAAGCTACGAACAGTATCTAGCTTCCTTGAATAAATTGTCCACCCAGCAAGTTACACTCCGACTTACCAACATGGAAGTGGAAAACCACTTGTTTGTAAAGGAAAATTGTCTTCCAAGGGGCCATGTTCCACTTCCGTGTTAGTGAGTCGGACTATTTGTCCTTGTTCATGTTTAAGGATTCACATGTTCGAAGGCCGAAGCTACCAAGTCTACTACTGCAAGTGATCATGAACTCACTATCTTCCACCAAGATCTTTTGTTGCAGCACCTCCAACTTGAGAATCACACCAACAAAACCAAAACACACAAACTCTCAAAAACGGTTCCTTCGTTGTGATACCGATCTACCTTGGCTATGATAGGCCCGGCTCTTTGTCCTGCTCCATCGGAGCCACCAGTCCCAGCCACCGGAGCCACCGGCGCCACCGCGCCTGCTCCAGGTCGCGGACGGGGTCCACTGACTCGGTCAATGAGAAGCGACTCGGAGGGGGAGGGGATCGGATCGGCGGCAGGGTTGAGGACTGCTTTGCCATGGTTGGGGAGTGGAAAACCCATGGAAACCCATGGGCTTTGGAGTGGGCATGGAGGGATATGGAGGGTGGACAGCAATGATTGCGGGCAGGCGTTTGATGGTCACCTTTGAGCACCAAGTTGGCAAGGTAGTTGGAGAAAGAGTTTGGTGAAACTTGAGGCCGTCATGAACGTGGTCTCCCTTTCTTTTGCCACCATGCATGGGCTAGGAATCTCTTGGAACATCATCCGGGTTTGATAGGGGTTCCCATGCAAGGATGCGTAAGTGCCACATGTTCTCGAACCTAGCAAGGAGAACGACCAGTTTGTCAAATCCTATGACGCACGGCGAACAGCATGCGAGGACCACGGGAGATTTCACGTGTTCAAGCAGGTGAAAAGATCGTGCAATCATGAACAGGGTCAGTGTGTGCCCCTATATAGAATACCAAGAAGATCTATAAAGTGTTTGCACCGCAACTGGCTTGTAAGCTGATGCTTCAAGGCTGAATGCAAGCAGTGCCAACAAAGAAGGGCTGCAATGTCAACATTTCTGGTAGGTGCTCACTAGCTCACTAGAGACGGTTTATGCATAATCATTCCCTTAAGCTGCAGGGCACACAAGAAGGGGTCCATTTCCTAAAGTGTTTCCTCCCACACAACTTGCAATGCACCAGGTGCATTCATGAGGCAGCTGTAGTGGATCGTTTTTGCAGACAAATCCCGCATGACAACCCACTCATCCCTTGCTTCAACGTGGGTTTCACCGTGCATTGCTTGGGATGTGTTTTGATGCTCAGGCGAATGCAGAAGATTGCGGGATGCCCAGGGTGATGTTTAGTTCTAGGCACAAATGAGTTGTTGTTTCTCTTCAGAAGTCGCACTCGCACCATTCAACTCCCATTTGAGTTGGTCCATCAACTCTTGGTGTACAAGAATGTAGACTCTTGATGAATCCACCCACCATATGAAGAGGA